CGTCGTTGTCTCTGGGTCACGCAGAGAGTAGAATGTCAAATTCGTAATCAGTGACCACGAAAACCCCCGACTAAAATTTTTACGGAAATCTGTGAGATTTTCAAAATTTCATGTCTGCCATATGGGAAATCCACCATTTTGAAAAGGTTATGGCCAATTGAGATCGGCAAAAAAATTTTCCCTCAAACTTCAACTATTCCGATCACCGTTGATCATAATTAGGATTGATCTCGAAACTCTATTGACCCAAAAAAAATTACGAAAAAAAAAATTCCAAATTTTTGGGTACTTCTTTGCAAATACGGCGCCATATTGGATTTCCTATTTAAACAAACTCAATTTTAACCACAGATTCTTGAAGAGCATACCCAAAACTAGTAGAAAACATGGTTTTTGTTTGGAAATTTTTCCTCTTTAGTTATAAGAATGAGGTTTGAAAATGAGCTGAAAAATGGGATTTTTGGACGTTAATGGGTTAATTTACAGTGAATTGAAATATTATTTATCTCTCGTATATTAAAAGTATATTAAATTTCAATACACTTATATATTTTAATTTACTAAAATTTATTTTTATTAACATGAACATTAAATATCATTTCAATTACAAGTGATTTAAATATCATTTACCATTGTATATTAAAAGTTCATGAAATTTCATGACATTTTTAACAGTGTATGCAACCCGTCATACTGTCTAATATTTATCCGTAACACCCTGTACATTTGGCTCGTTCAAGTTGACAAAGCGGCTAGCCTGCTCGCCGAAAAATGAGCATAATTAAGTTGTTGTTTATAGATCCAGCCAATCATATTCAATCACTCAGTAAGCATGCCTAGCCACTTTGCCGTCTTGAACTCGCTTAATAATAGCACACGGAAAAAGACGAAAACAAGCAAGAAAATATAAAATAGGCGCAAATATGAAAATAGACACGAACAATTTCAAAAAGGATGCACAAGCATCAAATGCTCGTCTCCTTATATCAGAAGGACACAAGATATCAAAGTCGCACTTTCCTGGTCAAGTTGTACGGCTCTTGTGCCGGAAAACGTCGAGTTACGATATATATTTAACATATACGTATCTATAATTAAATATACAATACATAAAAATATATTAAGAACATAATAAAAACTAAGTATCTAGTTTTACAGTTTTTTTTTTATATTAATAAATTATATTATTATTACAAAAATAATTTTATTCACGTTTAATTTACGAAAAACGTTATGTTACGTGTGCATTAACTTCTACATACTTATAAAACATTCATTGAAGTTATCAAGTTCAACTCATCAATACGTGTTGTTCAAAAATGTTGTAAATAAAAAGCATCTATTATGTATGAAAGGAGACAATGGCTGCGTTCAGCAGAAAAAGTAGTTTTCCAACTGTTTTAAAATTCTTGAATATGATTGGTTTATACATTTAGATCCAATGAGAAACTAAGAGCAAGACCAATCATATTGTAGAATTTTACAACAGTTGCAAAGCTGCTTTCTCTGCTGAACGCAGCCGATGTGTAATAGTGCACATAATGCGCATTGCACATGTTTTGTTTACGTCATAACTAGTCAATAAAATGCTAGTCATTAATATGCTAGCCAATCAAATGCTAGCATTCTTTTGGTTGAACAAATTGATTACTGCGCATCCTTGAAATTGTTTACCTTGTCTTCTTTCACCATGCTATTATGTATTTTTGAACTCCTATAATAAAGACATAATATTGCAAAGATAGTTACGTTTATACTTATTTATGCCCTGTAATAATACATACACATGAATAAAAATTTCAAGAAAATAAAGTAATCTAATCTAGATTATCAGCATATACGTTTTATTTCATCGCTCAATACTTGTTGATATGTACATACTTCATCCTCTAATATACGTACGTACCTTACAGTATAATTCTCACAAGATTCCTAGAGGATCTGTAGAAACAAACTAATTTTGAAATTCTTATGAAGAGTATAACGCGTTTGTGTGTCGTGCGACAAGTATAAACTCAAATCATTAG